AATACATACAAATGACTCTATTAGTTCCAAAACTATAAGTTTCCATCCATTTGGAGCAAAACCTGCTTAGAACAGGGAAGGTCAACATGATCGTGATTTTAGGATGTGGTTTATAAAAAGTGATTAATCTGCAAACCAATGCAATGATTTTGCAATGAGCTGTTCTTTTTCATGGAACATATAAATAGTAATTTGGCTTTTCCACTTGTATTTGGGTTTAGATAGATTTTCTAGCCAGCAGAAAATATCTCAAATTGAAGGTTAGACGCATTCCTTCCCTTTCGAGAGCTATATATTGGCAGGAAAGAGAAACTCCATTCTTATCACCCTTCTCCCACCCAAAAAATAAAATACAATAAAATAAAAAAAGGGCAGACAAAAAATTCAGTCAGGTGTAAGGGTAACAGTCCCAAAGCATCTTTATAAATTAATATGAAAGCTGTATTCAGACTGGGTGTTTTGAAAGTCAAAAGCTGCCAAATGTAGCACACACTGCAGGAGTGACAGATGACTAATTTCAGGAAACGTGTCTTGGGCCATATTCCTGTATAATGATTTGGAGTGTGTGTGTGTGTGTGTGTGTGTGTGTGTGTGACTTGTTCTGTTTGCTTGTCACCTGCTGTTTTCTTACACACATCAGCTTAACTTAGTCCTTGTGATACAGCTGAGATAGGTAGAGGATGGAGGAATTCAGGGATCATTTAGAATCTCTAGCGTTCAGTATATCTATCGAGTGTTCTAACACCATTATTGGACCATGAGTAGTTTCTATCCCCAGCATGACTTTTTAACCTTGCCTTACCCAGGTCAGGAAGAACAGCTAGCGCATGTACAACCTATTTCACATGCAGAAGTCTTATTCTTTGGTCGATTCAATTCTGCCAGTTCTTTGAATCGAGTCGGATTGATTTGGTTAAAATCAGTTAACAAAACACATCTAGCTGTGCACTCCCACAGATGGGGTGCGTATGAAGATCTCCTGCTGTGATAAAAATCAGTTTTGACGTTCTTTTCTCCTTTGGCTGGGTGTGTGCAGGAGGGATTATTACAATTCTTGCATTTGGCCTCCTCTGCAGCATTTTCGTTACATCTCCTGCCGTACAGTAGGCGACTTAACATATGATGCACTTGTCAAAAGCAAACACTGGGTCCACGCCAAACCTCTCTGAAATGTGTTTGGTGTGCTCCAGTCTCAGCAAACACATCTTGTTTTCACTAGGCCGGCGGTTTTCAAACTTTTTTCCCTCATGACCCAGTTGAAGAAAATTGTTGATGCCCCCGACCCAACATCATGTGATTAGAGTGTGGGCTCTGGGGTGGGGCTGAGGATGAGAGCTTCGGAGGCTGGGGCAGGAGGGATTTACCTCGAGTGGCTCCCGATCAGCAGTGCAGTGGGGAGGGAGAGAAAGGTGGAGCTAAGGCAGCTTCCTGCCTCTCCTGGCACCGCAGACCAGGCTGCGTCCCAGAAGGTTCCCAGCCAATGGGAGTTGCGGAGCTAGAGCTCAGGGCAGGGGCAGTGTGTGGAACCCTGTGCGCTCTCTTCCCCAGCCTAGGAACTGGGCCGGTTGCCGGCCACTTCAGTGCATCAGTCTGCAGTGCCAGAACAGGCGGGTAGCTGCCTTAGCACCCTCACTGCTCATAAGAACATAAGAACGGCCGTACTGGATCAGACCAAAGGTCCATCTAGCCCAGTATCCTGTCTGCCGACAGTGGCCAGCACCAGGTGCCCCAGAGAGGGTGGACCGAAGACAATGATCAAGCGATTTGTCTCCTGCCATCCCTCTCCAGCCTCTGACAAACAGAGGCCAAGGACACCATTTTATCCCCTGGCTAATAGCCTTTTATGGACCTAACCTCCATGAATTTATCCAGCTTCTCTTTAAACTCTATTATAGTCCTAGCCTTCACTGCCTCCTCTGGCAAGGAGTTCCACAGGTTGACAACACACTGTGTGAAGAAGAACTTTCTTTTATTAGTTTTAAACCTGCTCCCCATTAATTTCATTTGGTGTCCCCTAGTTCTTCTATTATGGGAACTAATAAATAACTTTTCTTTATCGGCCCTCACCTGATTCCCCTGTTGTAATGGGACCCAGGGCCTGACATTCCACCCCCCACTCCTGGGTCACGACCCGTCGTTTGAAAACCACTGGACTAGGCAACACCCTAACCACTGACTTTCCAGACAGACTGGAAACTCAGGGTCATTCTCCTTTTGGGGGTGGCATCCCCTTTATTTAAAGAGAGGCAAGTGTCTTCTAGTCACTATCAACAGCATCAGAGATGTTAGGCCAATCCTGCCTTTGTGACAGTCATTTGTCAATAACTTCTGTGGGAGCAGAATGGGGCCCCATTTGGTTTGTGCGATGGTTTCCTACTGTGAATGTAAAGATTGTATAGATCCCATCAAACCGCCGTGACTTTGGTTTAAACAGTTTTCAGCATAGCCTATATGGCTTTTTTTCCCTATTGTTGGCAAAGAAAGCACGACTTTTGCTTTCAGGGCTGGTGAAAGGCTAAATTCTGCACAAGTGTAAGTTAGTGGAATATCACCAGAGCGAAATTTGGCCCACGGAGCAGATTATCCTCCTACTGCGCTTGTCCTTTTAATTAACGCTCACCCATACCTTGGTTAGAATAGACCCCAAAACACAGTTTCTGTCATTGTAAATCCACTGGAGATTTGGTCAGCCATGCCTGTGTTAAATGCTAATTCACCATTCCAAAGAAAACCGAACGTGCAGGTGTATGCACTGGATAGATGCTTATATTTCCTGATTTTAAGTGAATGTAACTTGCAGGCCTGTAAGACATGTTCACTTCAGTGCTTGCTATCGAAAGAGCGGTGGCAATTTTGTGCAGATGAGGTCAGTTTCGTTGATCTGTAACGGCAGACAGAGAATCTCTGTGCTCCAGGACAATTCTGTGAATAGAAGGGAAGTGACTGATAATATGAATTGTGGGGCTTGGGAGGCTAGGGCCGCCAGGTAGCTTTGGGTCATCGTGCTGTGCCTTTGAGTTCTAACATGCGGTTTGTGTCTCTCTTGCAGACCATGTACTCTCTCTGACGGATGTGCAATTGCTAAGCTAACGCTGCATATCAGAAGACTCTCCTTGGCGAAGTCAAGGGGCGTTGGAAACGCCGACCTTGCGCGCTCTTTTTTTTCCCGTGTGTGTGTTCCTCTAGAACGTTCAAAACTGTTTCTCCAAAGGGTTTTGCAGAAACTCAGACTGTTTTCTAAAGCAGAAGCCCCTCCGTGCACAGCAGTAGTGATGGGCAGTGTGCGAACCAACCGCTACAGCATCGTTTCCTCAGAAGAGGATGGCATGAAGCTGGCCACCATGGCAGTGGCCAATGGCTTCGGGAATGGGAAGAGCAAAGTACACACGAGGCAGCAGTGTAGGAGCCGCTTTGTCAAGAAAGACGGCCACTGCAATGTCCAATTCATTAATGTGGGTGAGAAAGGACAACGTTACCTGGCAGACATCTTTACCACCTGCGTGGATATTCGCTGGAGGTGGATGCTAGTTATCTTCTGTCTGGCTTTCATCCTTTCATGGCTTTTTTTTGGCTGCGTGTTTTGGCTGATTGCTCTGTTGCACGGGGATCTGGAGGAGCAAGCAAACTACAAAACTTGCATCTCCAATGTGAGCAGCTTCACGGCCGCCTTCCTCTTCTCCATCGAAACCCAGACGACAATCGGGTACGGCTTTAGGTGTGTGACGGACGAGTGCCCCATTGCAGTCTTCATGGTAGTTTTCCAATCCATCGTAGGCTGCATCATCGATGCGTTCATCATCGGGGCGGTCATGGCCAAGATGGCCAAGCCAAAAAAGCGAAACGAAACTCTTGTCTTCAGCCACAATGCTGTGGTGGGCCTGCGGGATGGGAAGCTGTGCTTAATGTGGCGTGTTGGAAACCTACGGAAAAGCCACCTGGTGGAGGCACATGTGAGAGCCCAGCTGCTTAAATCCAGGGTGACCTCCGAAGGAGAATACATCCCGTTGGACCAAATAGACATCAATGTTGGGTTTGATAGTGGGATAGACCGCATTTTCCTGGTCTCCCCAATTACAATAGTCCATGAAATAGATGAACAAAGTCCCTTGTATGACTACAGTAAGCAAGACATGGACAATGCAGACTTTGAAATTGTGGTAATATTAGAGGGCATGGTGGAAGCGACTGCCATGACTACCCAGTGCCGTAGTTCATATCTAGCAAACGAAATCCTCTGGGGCCACCGGTATGAGCCTGTGCTCTTCGAAGAGAAAAATTACTACAAAGTGGACTACTCTCGGTTCCACAAAACGTACGAAGTGCCCAACACACCCCTTTGCAGTGCCAGAGACTTAGCAGAAAAGAAATACATTCTCTCTAATGCAAATTCCTTTTGCTACGAGAATGAAGTGGCTCTCAGCAGCAAAGAGGAGGATGAGAGCGACAACGGGCTCCCAGAAAGCTTGAGCACGGACACCCACCCAGACATGGACCCTCATAGCCAAGTTGGGTTGCCACTAGAACCTCGGCCATTAAGGCGGGAATCTGAAATATGACTGACTGACTTTTTCTCTGCTATCTTTTGGTTTAAAAGAAAAATCTGTCAGTCAAAGGCTCGGTGAGCTGAGAGTTGGCCCGAAGCAACGATGGTACTGTTGAAGAACAGCGTGAAGACACGTGGTCTTGAGGGACCCTGCGCCGGTTTTAGGGCTGTCTTTAGAGGAGAGACGGCTGAAAATGACCTCTACACACGAAGCACTAAACAATGTCAAAGCATGACCAGAAGGCACATATATATTGTAGAATAAATTATGTATATATTTTTTTACAAAACTTGAACTTGCAGGCAAGCTTTGGTTGGGTTATTTGTTGTTCAACTTTTTCCAGAATGCTTCTCTCTAGGGAACAAGAATGTTTTTAATGGCATAACAAAGGCAAGAATCTGCCTTATTATTATTATTATTATTATTTTATTATTATTATTTTAAGAAAGCTGCTGCTAACTCCATGGACACAAATTGTAATTTTTTTGTGGCCGTGTAGTTTTTTTTTCTTTTTCTTTTGTTTGTAATTAAAAAAAAAAAAAAAAGACGCCAGCATTGAACTTTGTGGGCTGAAACGCTCACAGTCACACTTCAAAGAGGCCAATGCTGCCGTGTATCTGAACTTTTTTCGAGGCCAGTAGTTTGATAGCTAGAATCAATTTCTCTCTCTTTCCAGTTACATAAGGGGCATTATGTAACATAAAACCAATTGGTAGCCTCCAGCAATTTTTTTTGGAAGGGGAGGAGGGATAGAGTTTAATTATCTCAAAATTAAGTTAAAACTACCTAAATGGATACCAAAGAAAATGCACAGTTTTGCACAGTGGAGTTTATTTAAATGAAACAGGCTGCTTTAAACCAACAAATTTTGAACCTCAGATTTTTTTTTGAAAGGGCCTCATTTTGCACCTTATTCAGAAAATTAGAGTGTAATACTCATATCTAAGTAAGCAAGACGTTTTTCCCCCTCTGTGGGAAAATGAGCTCTCTCTTTTTTATTCTTTTTATAAGAAGGAAAAGAGAGGCGGGAGAGGTGGAGGAGCAAACATCTGTTCTTTCCTGTTAGGAAAACGCCAACAGGGCTACAGCAGAAGGTCAAGTGTTATTCTAAAACACATTCCAAAACTGCTTCTAGAACGTAGAGCCCTCTTCCAGCTGACCCAGCGTTCTGAGAACTGAGCCATCAAACACGCTGCCGGCTGTTATTACGTTTCCAGTTCAACTAGGCTAGGGACATGCAAAGCTGCTGATCTGCGCTGGAGGCTAACTCTACTGGAGCAGGCATTTAGGCTTAGGTGAGCCGAGCAACATGCAAATCTCTGGGGAGGAGGCGAGAGGAAAAAAGGGAGAGGCCGGGAGGAAAGTTCTAACAGGGCAATCTGAAATTGCACCGGGATTCGAATGTTTGGGGGAAACGTTTCCCTTTGGCAGGCCACGGGTGTCAGAGCCGGTGTGCTCTGGATCATTGGGAAAAAGGATGATTTGAAGCGAATACTGTAAAAGAGTTCCCTTTCCCACTTCCTTTTTATCTGTAAACATCGACTGGGCTGTCCGAGGTTGAGATCTGTCACTACATCTTGGGACCTTATGACATGCCATGGCTCTAATAGTATTTTGGTTCCCTTTGTCATGAATGCTTTACTGTTTTCTGTGCCTCTACGATCAAGCATATAAGCTGCACACGAAGGTTCCTCACCTGTTAATCTTCCTCAAGGAATAGAGAGTGGTGTTTGGGGACGATAGATTCTAGTCAACTCTTTTACAGTATTGGATCACTGTATGCCATTAAAAAACAGCTTGTTCTATGTCTAATGTCTTCTGCAAATGGACATCTGTGAAGGCCTGTGGCCCCTTACAGCCCTGCCTGAAGGAAATGCCTGCAATGATATGGTGGTTCCTGAGAAAATGGTATTTACAGTAACCTGAGGAGGTGGGTTCTAAAACTGTGGAAATTTTACATTGTAAAGGTAGCTCTGGATATTAAAAAGGGCAGATGGTATTTAAATACAAATACTAAAACTATTTATGGGTGGGTGGGGGGAAAGGGTGTTAAACCCACATAGCAACTTGAACAGAATGCTACTTGTGCTGCTATTGTGATATTCTTGTAAAGGAAAACAACTAAACCAAAGAGTATTCCGTGAAATGTAAAACAAATGAAGATGCAATCAGAGAGGGAGGACATGGGGGAAGGAGGTGGCAAAAAGAGAATCCTTTCCCCAATTAGTTTACTCCAAAATACACAGTGCCCCGCTTAGAAGACTTCAAACATCAGAGCCAGGGACAGGAGATAAGGGGAAAAAATAAAAAAGCTTCTGATGATTTCTTTAAGAAAAAAGGAAACAAAACAGAAAAAAAATCTGAAGTTTCTGGTGCACAGTTTTTTCCAAGTCACACATTTTTCAGAAATGTTTTTAAAATGTACATTTTATAAAGTTGATCAAGTATTTTCGTATTCAAAGCCAAATGTAAATAGAAGTCTGTAAAGGAGAAGAAGAAAACCAGAAAAATTAAATAAATCCATAGAAACTATAAATTCAGTTCAGCAATTTCTGCTAGCGAGTACCTAGATGCTACCGGTTAGCATGGTTTTAGCAAGTACTTACAAGCCTTATAGGGTCCCTAATGCTATGAACTTCTGTTATTTATTTAAGCATGGACTTTTAATTTGAAACTTTTTCCCCCTAGTTACTGGCATTTTTAAAAGTTACAAGCTTTCAGATTGCGAGTCTTGTTGAGAGTGGATACTTAGGTCATTCATTGCACTCTCTGCTGGATTTATTTCATTTTTAAATAACCCTTTGTCTCTACCGACTGAATCTAGCATTGCAGATTTGCACTCGGCCTTTGGCTGATGGAAGCTGCTACGAAAGAGACCTGACCTGCAATGTGTATCTCATGGTACCTGCTCCAACCCTGGTTCATCTCTCAAAAGGCTTAAATATATTTCTGAACATGCCTTGATAAGCCCAGTCCTGGTTGCACGGTTGTAGGGTTGGTTAATTATTATTATTTTTTCTTCTTTAAGGCATGCATAGTGACTGACACTATTCATACTTACTGGGCCAAATTCATGTCTCACGGGCTATCCAAATGCTTGGTGAAGCAGATGGAAGTCTTTCTGTTGGCTAAGGTTTTGGATCAGGCCCTGAAGCTATGGCATGACCCCAAAGATGAAGTTGGTTCGGTGTCTTTAATGTCTACCACAGGCGGTTTATGTATTTTGCTTCAGGAGTTGGGGGGGAAATGAGTGATTTCTGCCCTTCCCTGAAAATACTTGAATAAAGACTTAATGTCTGAAACATAATACCGCCTACAAGGACAAAAGGCATTTGTGAGACAGCTTGGGCTGCGTTGTTATTTCCCTCTGCTGTCTCTTAGGTGCAACTTGGTGTTTGGCTAAGTCGCAAAGGTGGACAGCACAACATTTTCGTTGTGTTTAAGGCTACATTCTCTCACTCATGGTCAATATCTGCGGTGTTAGCTTAGCACTTGTTCTCTCTTGGCAAAGACAAAGGGTTTGTACGTTTTATTTGGTCTCTTAGGTCCTTTTTTGTTTCCATATTGGATGACAAGGTAAAACCGAGAAGTACTGTATTGTCGTTAAACTACGGCTGCTCTTGACCGTTTCAAGGCAGAAGGGGGTTGCAGAGCTGCCATCCCACCGCCAAGTAAGAATTTCATTTTACAATGACATTGGGTCTGCAGCTATTGTAAGGTGAACAATCGAGACATTTGGCAATTGTCCATTTACTATTTTCCTGTTTGCAGCCTTTTTGTATCAACGTCTTCCTAATGTACTGCACAAATCATGGATTGTACAGATTTTTATATATTATGTCTTATTTTATTATTTCTAAATAATAATAATAATAAAAAAAACCCAACAATCTGCTGTCTGGATCTTCTGTGGGCGGAGGATGGGTCAAAGTATTACTATTTAACTGCACTATGGTGGTGCCGGCAATCAACCTGTCACATGCCTCCCATAGTAACGCATAGCAAGAGGCGATTCCTTCTCTCAAAAGCTTGGAATATCAGTTGACAAAGGGTAGGAGGCAAGGTGCTATTGTTCTCATTTTGCTGATTAGGAATGGAGGCACAATGCCTTATTGTCTCGTATGGCAATTTACAGCCCATAAGGATCTGCCCCAGAGTGATTCAATGACTTTTTTAAAGTTGCACCAAGGGGGGTGGTAGAAGTGAGCAGGGGCAGCCCTAGACTAGCTGCCAGCAACTGGTGCCCTAGCGAACCATGCGATCGGTGCCCCCGCCTCTAAACCCCTCAATGATATTGGCGCCCCATTTAACTTGGCGCCCTACCGACCGCCTAGTTTGCCTATATGGGCGGGCCACCCCTGGAAGTGAGAATTAAACCCCGGCACTCAGAGTTGTACTCCAGAGTCTTATCCACATGACCAGGGATTAATTTGTAAGGAAAGAAGTTCTGGGGCTCAATTAAATGTTTATTTTTACAACTGAGGCAGCTGGGAGGGTGGGGAAGCCCTGGAATGGGTTGCCTAGAGCAGTGGTAGAATCTCCATCCCTAGAGGTTTTTCAGGCTCGACTCGACAGAGCCCTGGCTGGGTTGATTTAGTTGGCATTGGGCCCGCGTTGGGCAGGGGGTTGCACTCGATGACTCCTGCGGTCTCCCAGCCCTGGGATTCTACGATTCTAAGCCCACCAGTGCGGGGGCTATGGACTGTCAGGCCCAGCAGTGCAGGGGCTCCGCCCTGGCACAGATTAAGCACTGCACATGACCATCCTTCTGCTCTTACATACGGGGCGCCAACAGCCTCTTTGGCCCCTGGGCAAGGTGGGGGTGGGGTGGCCAGGGCTGGCCCACAGCATTTTGGCATCTGAGGCGGGGAGCTCAAATGATGCCCCGTTGCCTGGGTGAAAACTTTGCAAGGTCTCAATTCTGCCGCCTTCCTGTTCTACTCCTCTCATGGCACTCCCCCATCTCTGTGCATCTAGAGCAGAGGGAATACCTCTGCACCAGCAGCAGACAATTTTCTACACTCTGGGTCCTACTGATGCCCTCCCACATTCTGGCAGCTGAGGGGGCCGCCTCAGTTCACCTCATGGTAAGGCCAGCCCTGGGGGCGGCTCTGTGCTCCCAGAAGGGGCGGGGCCTCTGGCAGAAGGGGCGGGGCCTCTGGCAGAAGGGGCGGGGCCTGGGCAGCCAGCCCTGAATGCACCATGCTGACCCCAAGTAGCCCTCAGCACCGCCTGGAGCATGGCACCGCCCCCCCCCTGCTGTCCCCCCAGCCCTTTGTACTACCTGGAGCTGCCATCCCAGTGCCAACTAGAAATGTATTTTACCATGACCTTTGGTCTGCAGCGATTGTAAGGTGAGCAGTCGAGACACTCCAGCTATGGTTGGTGCCATGTCACAGCAGTAGCATCCAGAAGCCGTTCCCTTTGAATCTCTGGGCACCAGTGCAACTGTTCACCCCTCCCCTCCCTGCCTCAGCAGGCCTCCTTATGTACAGAGTATTTGGACACAAAATAGAGCTCACGTCCATCAAAATATTGATGAGATAAATGGATTACGCAAGGGCCTTGAACGGAATGTGCACGTATTCACCAGGTATTCTATCTCAGCAGGTAGGGAAACAGACAGGGCACTGAGAGGTTTGGGCAGGAGTTTGAAAATAAAGCGGGAGCCACCGCTCCAAATATGCCCATGGACCACCCCTCTTCACCCTCTGTTTTTAAAGGGCTGTTCCCCTCTATTCCGCACAGACTGGTTTAATTGTCATAAACTTCCTGGGTCATGCTGAATTATGCACCTGATGTCCCAAATGCTAGACCAGCTTCTGTCCTCGGGAACTGAATATGTGGGGCTGTAGAGGCTGATGCACTAAGCTCTGGAGGTCCCAGGTTTGATTCTACCTGTCAGCATTACACAAGCATGCTATGAAGAGTTTCAAATTGAGTTTTGGCCTGTATACTCTATTTTTGGGCTTTTTCAGGTCCTCAGTGGAATTAATCTCTAGTATGATGCTTCAAGGGAGAATCGTGCCATCCATAATGGCTCCTCTTATAAATTCAGCTACTCTTTCCAAAAATCTGTCTCTCAGAAAGTTAGTTTATCCAATGCATTAAAACTCATGCAGATCCAGGGGTTTTGTTTTTAAACAGGGCCAAATTCAGAGCTAAAGCACAAAGGAGTGTTAGCTGGACCACTGTGCAGTCAGACTGCCTTATAGGTGTTTTCCTTGTAAGCGGAGCACTTGGGTGGCCAACCAGGAGAGATTCAAATGCTTCCCAGCTGATCAGCTGAGGGCCCACAGCTGGCAGCAGTTGTTTCTATTGGTGGTGCACATCTGCACATGCGTTGGGGCACATGAGAAAAATTATTCTGCACACAGATGGAAAAATTAGAGTGTACCACTGTGCCTTACCCAAAGCTAAAGTCTTTTTTTAGAACTACACATGCCAACTGGCTAATTTGTTTAACCAGCGTTATAATTACATAGAAGGTCGGCAGAAAGTGTATGTGAACAAAACCAGACAATGGAGATGTCGGGATATTTACCAGCTCGGAACCTGGCTTAAAATACAGAGAGGAGTGTTTTAAGTGATATTTTAACCTGCCTTGTTGTTATTTGCTTTGCTTACTGTGCTGCCCTCTTCTGGGCCCTAGGCCTGCATTATTGCTATGTCAAGTGCCATGGATTTAGTTAAGACTCCCTAAGGCCACATTCAGAAAGGAAATGTGGAAGTAACAGACACCAGTGTTCCAAACTCCCACGACAGTTGTGAGAGCCTCAGAATACTTTTTTGGTTTTAACCATGGGCTCCCAAAGTTTTGTAAACGTGAAAATGTCAGCATTTTTATTTTAAAAATAGAGAGCGACTTCATGATTGCTGAGTAAAGCCTGAGCACGTGACCTAAGAATCTAATTAAAAAAAAAAAACCCTCAGACCCTCCACAATCATGAGACTGGCTTAAAAATGCAGAGTCATGAACATTACGTGGGCAGGGCTGGCCTTATCATGAGGCCAACTGAGGCGGCCACCTCAGGTGCCAGAATGTGGGGGGCGGGGAGGCGCCACTAGCACCCAGCATGTAGAAAATTGTGTCTGCTGCTGGTGCACATGTATTCTCTCTGCTCTAGATGCACCAAGAATTTTCGAACAAGGCATTTTAAGTTGTTACTTCTCCTTTATTAGGGTAGGTAGCAGAGCGGTACCATGAGACGAGTAGAAGAGGAAGAAGGCAGAATTGAGACCTTTCAAAGTTTTGGCCCAAGCGAAGGGGCCATGAGGGCGTCATTTGAGCTCCCTGCCACAGGTACCAAAATGTTGTGGGCTGGCCCTGCATGTGGGCGGCCATGTGAGCATCAATTCCATATGAGCAAGTGAGTCTCAGCATTTGAACAGCCAATGTGCGCTGGTGGAACTATTTAGAACAGGGGTGGGCGATATTTTTTCCGGGGTGTGGGGGGCAATTCATGAATTTTGGTAGTGGTTGCGGGCCAGCTCTGGCCTCCAGAAGGGCGGGGCCTTGGGTGGAAGGGGCGGAGCCTCGGGTGGCAGGGGCGGTTCCCCCTAGGTGCTGAGTGGGGAGTGGGGAGCATACAACGTCTCTTGCTCCCTGCCTCCACCCTGCCTGGGGTGTGTGGCACAAACCACCAGATGTTTTGAACAGCTGGCAGGTCCCTCTCAGTGTTGCACACCCCTGGTGGGGGGAGGAGACTTCACGCACTCCCCACCCTCAGGCCAATTGGAGTCTGGGGGTGGGGGAAGCCCACGAAGTCTCTCGTTCCCCACTCCCATCCTGCCAGGGGTGCGAGATGCTGTGAGGGGATTGCCGGTCATTTTGAACATCTGGCGGTTCCCTCTAGGCGCCGCACGCCCCTGGTGGGGGGAGGATACCTCATGGGCTTCCCATCCCCCCATCCAATCAGGATATGGGGGCGGGGGAGTACACAAAGTCATTCGATGCTCACATCTGCTCATGGTTCCCTCCAGGTGCCACACACCCCGGGGAGAGGTGGGGGAGAAGGGAGCCGCCAAACCCTTTGAACAGGAAATGACTTTGCACACTCCCTTTGGGTCTCTGTTGCTTTTGCCTACCCCTGATTTAGAATATCAGCTCTTTGGGGCAAAGGTAGTTTTCAAAGCTGTCCTTAGCCATCTGCAGAATACGCAGCTGTGTAGGACACCGGAAAATTTGTGGCACCCCTGGGTCTTAACGTCCACCCACCCGCTTCTTCCTATCTCTGTTCTGTGGCTCTGCTTCCTACGGAGAGGATCTGAAAACTGAAAAATCCGACCAGCCCTACTAGAGGAGCACCGAACCCGTGAAAGAGCCATTCAAATGGTCATGAAGCACTGAACAGGCATTCGTCATCCCCTGTCAGTTTCTGAGTTGACTGTGTTAATCGGCAGGACCTTAGTTTAAAGAGTGTTTTAAAACTATTTCATCCGTGTGTGGCTGAAGATTCTAAAATCACATCTGTAAAAAAATCATTCCTCCCACTCCCGGCTGCCCTCAGTGATCGGGGCAGCAGTTTAATAGTACTGCCTTGGGCCCCGAAATGCTAAGAACAGTCCTGGTGGGCGTGGTTTTGTACAGCGCATAGCAAAACGGAGTCCTGGTCTGTTCTCACCCGCTACAGCAATGCCAGTAATAACCAATTCTCAGTAATAATACACTGATGGGACGAGAGCAGCACAAACCATGTTGGCAATGGAAATTTACCCTGGTACCTTACTGGTGTAAATGACATCAGGGAAGGTCTAGTTTTGCAACAGTGAAACATGTCTGCAATGCACATTTGCGCTGCTACATACACACCAGTATACAGCAAACTGGAGTACAGGAGACTCTCGTGAGTTGCGGAAGTTTGGGAGCTGCGGGAAGTTC